TTCATTTATAGTGTTTTGCGTTTTTTCAGATCTAATTATTTTGTATTCATTTTTATGTACACCTTAGCCCAAGTGTTATGTAAAAATGTGTTGTGTTTTAATATCTCTGTGTATGAATTTGGGAATATTTATTTTTGTTATTGATTTCTGATATTAGCAACTTGCTACAGGGAACATGACCTTTTTGATATCAATTTTGTTTTGAATTTATTCAATAATCATGGAAAGCCTCTCTGAGATGGTGACACGGGAACAAACACTAAATGAAATAGGGGGGCAGAGTTTCCATAGAAATATCTTAGAAAAGAATAATCCTTGCAATGGTAATAGTAAAAACAGAGGCCTTGAGGTAGAAATGGGTTTGAAATGTTTATGGAAGAGCAAGAAAACTAATTATGTGTGGAACAGAATGAAAAGAGGAAACCGTAGCAGGAAAAAAAAGATTGGAGAAATATTCAGCAACCAAATCAGGTAGGACATTGTGTGCCATGTAAAGAGACTGGATTTTATTCTATGTAGTTTTTTTTAAAAACGTAATTTGGTTTTCAATATGGAAATAATTTGACTTAATTTGCACTTTTAAAACATATCTCTGGTGTCTGAACATAAATCAGAGTATGCAAAGCTCTCGTAGAAGCATAGAGACAAATTAGAGGGCTCTCTCCAGAGACACTAGTGACTTGGACAATGGTGCAATGACAGAGGAGGTGAACAAAGGTTGGATTTAAGACACATTTTAGGCTGGGCCCAGTGGCTCACACCCATAATCCCAGCACTTTGGGAGGCCAATGCAGGCAGATCGTCTGAGGACAGGAGTTTGAGAACAGCCTGACCAACATGGCGAAACCCCGTCTCTACAAAAAAATACAAAAATTAGATGAGAATTGGTAGCTAGCACCTGTAATCCCACTTACTCGGGAGGCTGAAACACAAGAATTGCTCGAACCTGGGAAGCAGAGTTTGCAGCGAGCAGAGATCTCACCACTGTACTCCAACCTAGGTGACAGAGGATATTTTAAAGATAGAGCTGGGCTTGCTAATGGGTTGTAATTATGAAATGAGAGAATCAAAGGTATCCCCAGAGTTTTTGTTTGTTTTTGTTTTTTAACCTAAACAACTAGGTACATGAGCCCATCACTGAGAGAGCAAGACTAAGGGCAGTGTAAGTATTAACAGAGAAAGTGGTATGAATCAAAAATTCATTCTGGAATTCTTAAGTTGCTTATTAGACATTCAAAAGCAGATGTCAAGTAAATAGTTGAATTTTTTTATTCTGAAGCTTAGTGGGAACGTCCAGGCTAGAGCTAATACTTCATTTACACAGACAGAGACAGCAACCTTGTGCCAATATGCTTCTCATAGCTATGAAGAGAATCTATCTACAGATTTGATCAACTTGAGTGCAGAAAGAGAAGAAAAAAATTGCCTCCTAACAACTGGTGGGGTGATTTTACTCATTTCGTTTGACTTTATGTCTGTCATTTATTTTTACTTTACTTTTTATCTTTTTCTCTTATTTTGCTAGTTGAACAAAGTTGTTATCCATTTTTTACCTATATTGGAAAATAGTCTATCCTAAGAGTCTCCTTTCAATTAACAACACGTTGAACTAATGGTTTCACTCACTCCATATAAATTAAGCACACCTGCAACTCCAGCAGCCACTTGGGTCAGGAGACCTAACCAGAAATTGATGTGGAAATAGTAGAGAAGCCCCTTGGGACAATCTCATAACATTTAAATAGTGAAAGTATAAACACAAAACAATGCCCAACAATGAAAGGATAATTACATAAGTATATTATGAAATATCCATGATATGGAATATTATGCAGAAAGTAAAAATTACTGTTTTGGAGTATTTGAAAATAGCATAAGAAAACATTTACAATAAAGTAATACCTATTAAATAAAGCTATAGGTGAATCGCAAGAATAAGAGAGAGAGACATTTAATGGAAAGTAAATAAACTAAAATAGCAATGATCTTTTAAGTGATCAAGTGATGTGTTATATCTATTATCATGATAATGTTATTTTTTCCAATTTTTAAATGAAATAATATTTAGGAATCAATAAAAAGAAAATATACATATAGGATATAGGCATATATGTGTTTGTCTACTCTTATACAGAGAAAAACTTGTTGAGTGATTTAGCAAAAGTATATTCAATGGAAAGCTGAGGGAAAATGTCAGCCACATGTGGGGAAAGAAGTGAATGAAAGATAAAGTGAAAATGAAGCATAGAGACTATAATATTCCTGAGGGGAAAAGGGAAAAGCTAGGGCATTCGTTAAAAAAACAAACTAAATACAAGAAAGACAATTTTGTGTTTTGTTTTTAACATGGCAGGAACTTGAGGATATTGACAGACTTAAAGTAAGGAAAACAATGGATTTAGAAAGCTGGCAGCAGTCGGGCACGTAGCTCACTCTTGTAATCCCAGCACTTTGGGAAGCAGAGGCAGGCGGATCACTTGAGGCCAGGAGTTCAAGACCAGCCTGGCCAACATGGTGAAACCGCATCTCTACTAAAAATACAAAAATTAGCTGAGTGTGGTGGCGCACACCTGTAATCCCAGCTACGTGGAAGACTGAGGCAGGAGATTCACTTGAACCTGAAGGTGGAGGTTGCAGTGAGCTGAGATCATACCACTGCCCTCCAGCCTGGGCGACAGAGTGAGACTCTGTCTCAAATAAATAAATAAGAAAAAGAAAACCGTCAGCAACAAGAAGAAAAACAGATAATGCATCAAAGTCCCCAAAGCTGTCAGTACCGCTGAAGGCAGGGAAGGAAGGTAAACAATGAATACTTGATTATAAATTTTTTTATTGAAAGTCTGGTGCCTTCCTGGAGAGCTATGTGCAATAAAACGCGATAATTTCTAGGTCAAATTTAACTATCTAATGGTAAATTGCCTTCTTTCTTCTTCTACTGTGACAACTTATATTTGATAGCTTGATGGCTCTCTGATTTTCTTCTTGGTGTTCTTTTAAGGAAAGGCATTTGTCAAAGCACTTTATGCTTCTTTGCTGAAGCCCTCTGCAATCTAAGTCATCTTTCAATGCTCATCTGGTACCTACTGGTCCACCCCCAGAATGCAATGAACCTTCCTCTGACCCTTCTTTGATATCCCTGATTGCCAGCCCATGGATTACACGATGTTCTTGGGCTTCCTGGGCAGGATTCCAAGCCTGCCTCCTGGCTCCAAATCTATTAGGTTAGTGCAAATGTAATTGCGATGTTTGCTGTTGAAAGTAATGGCAAAAACCACGATTACGTTTGCACCAACCTATATCAGGCTGGCAAACAAATATTCACAGAAAATATCAAGCAGTGAAAATTCTGACCTTAGTGTTCCATAAAGGATTTCAATTATTTGTTCTCACAAATTATTTGTTACACTTTGCAGTGTAAACTGTACTTCCAAAGCTTTTCCTCGTGATCAAGAAAGAAAGAATTCTCAGATAGGTGAGAAAAATCAGTAAATTCTGGATTCTTGATCAGAGATGCTAATGATCCTAGGCCATTCTGGTTTCAGTAAATGGAACAGTCAGCAATAACCAGCACAGTGACCCTAAGATCTCCCTTTGAGTTTCTAGGGTGCTGGCAGAGGCTTGTGCACAGGCACCACTGTCCCAGCAACTCAGAAGAAAGGACTTGAACGGAGGTTTACGGAAAAACATCCCCAGAGCTTTCATGCCCCTCATGGGCCCTCCTTAGGCTAAGCTGTGTGAAGTTTGCCTCTTTCAAGACCTCCCCATCCCTGACTCAACTTAAGATGTCATTTTCAAAGTCTCTAAAGGCAGGGAGGACCTGCTGAAATAATGTAACCACAGGTTCCATTCACTAACACTCTGAAGTATTACAGAAGCAGCAGCCAGAAGAAGCCATGGCAGAAAGAGAACTTCCTTCTTGGTACTGAGAAAAGTTACTTCAGCTGTAGTGAGACCATCTAGAAAGGAATGAAGGTCAAGTAAGACCAGGAATGTGCATGTACTTTGCAGTTTCTGAAGCTGATATTCTGGCCAGACGTGGTGGCTCACCCCTGTAATCCCAGCACTTTGGAAGGTTGAGGCGAGCAGATCACTTGAGGCCAGGAGTTTGAGACCAGCCTGGCCAACATGGCAAGACCCTATTGCTACTAAAGATACAAAAATTAGCCAGGCATGGAGGCGTGTACCTGTAATCCCAGCTACTTGGGAGGCTGACACAGGAGAATAGCTTGAACCTGGGAGGCAGAGGTTGGAGTGAGCCAAGATCGCACCACTGCACTCCAGCCTGGGTGACAGTGTGAGACCCTGTTTCTAAATAAATAAATAAATAAAGTTTACTCATACCCTCTTTAAGCATTCCCTAGGGCATGCAAAGTATTCTGGTGTTTATGTTCATTTCCTTAGTGTCTAAGAGGTAATTTGTGCCTCTTTGTCAGAAATATGCTCATGTTGCATTGCCATTGCTTTGCATATGTTATTTGCTTTCCAAAATGTATTATAGGTTCTCTAAGGCCCACTCTTCTTTAATTCTTCTCATATTACATATAACTGATGTGCAAACAATTTGTGTTGACTTAGATTTCAATATAAAAATTAGTTGATCTCGTTCAGTTGATTGGACAGAAAGATAATCAAATAAAAGCTTTTCTGTATCTCACTAGTCTGTTTATCATTTAAATTTAATTCCATTGCTTAAGCATGCTAACACACAGTGCCAAAAATACTAATAAATAAGCATGCTGTTGTATTACATTCTTCCTCCTATTATCAGAAAAATAAAATGAATACTTTTCCTCCAGAACTGCTTCCTTAATTCTTACAGTTCCTCCAGAATGCATAAGACAATGCTGATATTTCAGTAGAGTCTCTTTGTCATGGCTGTGCTTTCTACTACATTTGCACACATCCTGTTGACATTTGATAAATGTACTTTAAATGACTGATAGTCATGACGATTACATGCTGTCTCCTGATATTGAAACACAGAAATGTTCTTGCTCCTGAAAGGTTCAATAATCACTCAGCAACTCACTTCTTAAGAGGACTAAATGTACACAGAAGTTCTTTTCATCTCAGCTACTGATTCTCTAATCTGCTTTACCTATTCAACCATGAGGGTCTTGTTTTTGATCTTTGGAGTCCTTTACTTGCTGTCCACAGTTCCTCCAGGTAAGACAGAAACTTTTTATTCTAAAGTTCTAAAAATATAAGTAATAGAAAATGCAAGGTCTTTCAAGAGTCTGAAAATAAATTAAGCATGGGCAGATTTTACTGTACCAAGAAGGCTGCTCAGAGGATTGAAGAGTTGATGCTAAAGACATCAATAAGGTGGTTCACTGCAGTGATTGAACCTATGATAAACTCACTTGAGGCTGGGCACAGTGGCTCATGTCTATAATCCCAGCATTGGGGGAGTTTGAGGTGGGTGGATCACTTGAGCTCAGGAGTTCTAGACCAGCCCCTGAAGGGCAACAGAATGAAATCCCATCTCTACAAAAACAAAAATACAAAAAATTAGCCAGGTGTTAGTGGCGCGTGCCTGTGGTTCTGGCTACTCAGGAAGCTTAGGCAGGAGGATCACTTGAGCCTGGGAGGTCAAGGCTGCATGCAGCTTAGGTCATGCTGCTGCACACCAACATAGGCAACAGAGTGAGATCCTGTCTCAAAAAATAATAATAATAAAAAATAAACTTACTTGAGAGTTGTGTTTGATCAAAAGATGGTGAGAGTATGCACACAGAACACAGGAAATTTTAAGAATTGGAAAAATGAAAAGCGAATGATGACTAGAAGAAGAGCTAGAGGTGAAGAGGTGGGTGCCCCACCACAGTCCTTGGTTCATGGGACACTTTCACCACTGATCCAGGCAAGGACCTGGTCTCTGTGTTCCTTTAAAGTTGAATAAAACTCATATGATATCATTTAATGTATATGGAAATTACTTTTTGTATGGTAAGAGTTAAGATTCCACCTTAATTTTTAGCCACATAATTAGCCAATTATATATAAGCATATTTATTAGTCAACATGACTTTCCCAAATAAATTTTAAAATTCATCAATACTCCATAATAAAAATATATTAAACTGTGGTTTATACCTGAGATTTAGATTACTGGTTGTCTTATTTATCATTTCTGAAGCACATTTTAAACCTTCAGAATTCAAGATTCCCTCATTTATATAATACTTCATGATTCAAGATTTCCTTATTTATATAATTACAAATAATTATGCCTTTCCTCCATGATTGTTAGTGGGTTTTTTGTATTTTTATTGAGATACAATTTACCATAAAATTCATTCCCTTAAAGTGTTCTATTCAGTGGGTATCAGTGAATTCTTAAAATTGTGCACCCCTCACCACTATCTAATTCCAGAATATTTTTATGACCCCAAGAAGAAATCTCTCTTCCTCCACTCACCTCACCACTATCTAATTCCAGAATATTTTTATGACCCCAAGAAGAAATATCTCCTCCTCCCAGTCCCTAGCAACCACTGATCTGATTTTTGTCTCTATGTATATTCCTATGCTGGACATTTACTATGAACAGAATCATAAATATGTGATCCTTCATGTCTGTCTGCTTTCATTTAGCATAATGTTTTCAAGATTCATCCATATTGTGGCATATATTCGTACTTCATTCCTTCATTCAGTGGTCATCAGTATATTCCATTTTAAGAATCCACTGATGCTCACTAAATGGAACACTCTAAAGGAATGAATTTTATAGTAAATTATATCTCAATAAAAATGTAAAACACCATCAACATTCATGGAGGAAAAGTATAATTATGTATAATTATATAAATGATGAAATTGAAATAAATATTAAAATGCGCTCTGAGGCAATAGGTGCTTCAGAAAAGATAAATAAGTCAATTGATAATCTAAATCTCTGGTATAAACCACAGTTTAATATGTATTTATTATAAAGTATTGGTGGATTTTAAAATTAATTTGGGAAAGTTAGATTGATTATTGGTGTTGATAAAAAAATTTCATCATATAGATTATTTAGCATATGGTTGTTTATAACAGACTCTAATGATCCATTGTGTTTCTTTTATATCAGTTGTCATGTCTCCTGTTTTATTTCTGATTTTATTTATTTGGCATTCTCTCTTTTGTTCTTGGTTAGTCTAGCTACCAGTTTATAAAGTCTGTTTATCTCTTCCAAAAATCATCTTTTTGTTTCATTGATTCTTTGCATTTTTTAAATCTGTAATTCACTTAGTTCTGCTCTGATTTTTATTATTTCTTTCCTTCTCCTAAGTTTCATTTTTTCTTGTTTTTCTGGTTCCTTGAGGTGCATAGTAGCTTGTTTATAATCTTACTATGTGCTTGCAGTAGGCATTTATTGCTATAAAATTTTCTCTTAGCACTGTTTTTGTTGTATTCCATAGGTTTTGGTATGTTGTGTTTCCATTTGCATTTATTTCAAGAACATTTGTTATTTTCTTCTTAGTTTTATCATTGACTCCATGGTTGTTCAGAAGCATGTTGTTTAATTTCCATGTTATCTGTACAGTTTCCAAAGTTCTTCCTAGTATTCATTTCTAGTTCTATTCCATTTTTGTCTAGAATATACTTGATATAATGTTGATTTTTCAAAATTTGTTGAAACTTGTTTTGTGTCTTAACATATGGTCTATCCTGGAGAATGTTCTATGTGATGATAAGAATGTATATGCCACAGCTATTGGATGAAATGTTCTGTAAATGTCTGTTAAGTCTATTTGATCTGAGGTACAGATTAAGTTCAATGATTATTTGTTAACTTTCTACCTAGATGATCTGTCCAATGCTGAAAGTGGGGTGTTGAAGTCCTCAGTTATTATTATATTGAAGTCTATCTCTCTCTTTAGCTCTAATGACATTTTTAATATATCTAAGTATTCCACTAGTGGGTATGTATATATACATATTTGGAATTTTTATATCCTCTTGCTGAATTGGCCCTTTTATCATTATATGATGGCCTTCTTTGTCTCTTTTTATGTTTTTTCACTTAAAGTCAATTTTGTCCAATATAAATATAGATGTATTAGGCCATTCTTGCATTGCTATAGGGTTATCATAACAAAGTACCACAGAATGGGTGCCTTAAATAACAAAAGTTCATCTTCTCACAGTTCTGGAAGTTGTAAGTCTAAGATCAAGATGTCAGCACATTTGGTTTCTCCTGAGGCCTGTCTTGGCTTACAGCTGGTTGCCTTCTTGCCGTGTTCTCTTATGGCATTTTCTCTGTGCACATGCATTCCTGGTGTCTCTTCCTCTTCTAATAAGGACATCAGTCATATTGCACGAGGGCCATACCCTAGGAGTCTCATTTCAACTTTATCACTCCTTTAAAAAAAAACTTATCTTCAAATATGATTACATTCTGAGATACTAAGGATTGGGACTTCAGCATACAAATTTTGGAGGAACACTGGTTAGCCCATAACGATGAATTCATCAATAGACTGATATGATCAAGGAAAGAATCAGTGAGCTTAAAGAAGTTTAAATAGCAACTTCCGAAACTTGAAAGCAAAGAAAAAAGGATTAAAAAGAACAGAATATTTAATAAGTGTAGACCAAGTACAAAAGGAACAATATATGGGTAAAGAAGTGTCAGGAGGAGGAGAAAGAAAGGAACAGAAAAAATATTTGAAGAAATTATGACTGAGATTTTCCCAAAATTGAAAATAAACAAAATCTACATATCTAGGAAGCTGAGAGAATACCAAGCAAGAAAATACAAAAAATTTAAACCTAGGCATATCGTATTGAAAAGACAAAAATAAAATCTTAAAAGAAGCCAGAAGGGGAAACAATCTTTATCTGTGGACAACCAAGGATGAGAATTACATCAGACTTCTCCTAAACCACATCAGCAAAAAGAGAGGAAAGTGAAATATTTAAGATGTTTTAAAAAGAAAAACACTATCTTAAAACTCTCTGTCTAGCAATATTATCTTTTTTTTAGATAGAGTCTCACTTTGTCACCCAGGCTGGTGTGCAGTGGCAGCGACGTTGGCTCACTGCAGCCTCCACCTCCTGGGTCCAAGCAATCTCGTGCCTCAGCCAGCCACCACCACGCCTGGCTAATTTTTGTATTTTTAGTAGAGACTGGGTTTCGCTATGTTGGCCGGGCTGGTCTCTAACTCCTGACCTCAGGTGATCCGCCAGCCTTGGCCTCCCAAAGTGCCGGGATTAAAGGTGCAAGCCACCGCGCCCAGCTTACCCTTTAAATTAAAGTAAAAATACATAATTTTCTTAGGTAAACAAAAATTGAGTTTGTCACCAGTAGTCCTACCTTACAATAAAAGTAAAAAGAAATTCTTCACTCATACTCAATGGTGAAAAACTGAAAGCTTTCTTCTAAGATCAGGAACATGGCTAAAGTGCCCCTTCTTGCCACATTTATTTAACATGATACTAAAAGTTCTAGCGAGAACAATTAGGCAAGAAAAGGAAATAAATGGCATCCAAACTGGTGGTGGGGGGAGGAATGAGTAAAATTATCTATTTCCAAGTGACATAATTTTTTTTTGTCAAAAACCCTAAACTTCACTCCCCCAAAATTATTAAAACTAATAACAAATTCAGTAAAGTTGCAGGATACAAAATCAACATACAAATATCAGTTGTGTTTCTATAGCACTAACAACAAGCAACTGGAAAGCAAGTAAAGAAAATCCCATTCATAATTGCAACAAAAAGATAAGATACTTAAGAATAAACTTAACTAAAATGCTGAAAGACTGGTACATTAAAAATTGCAAACATTCATGAAAGAAAAGAAGACACAAATCAGTGGAAAGATATCCTATGTTCATGAATTGGAAAACATAATATTATTAAAATGTCCATACTATTCAAAGCAATTTATAGATTATATACAATCCCTATCAAAATCCTAATGGCACTCTTGACAGAAATAGAAAAAACAATCTTAAAATTCATATAAAACCACAAACGACCCCGAATAGTCAAAACAATGAGCAAGAAAAACAAAGCTAGGGGCATCACATTTTCTAATTTCAAAATGTATTATAAAGATAGAGTAATCAAAACTGTGTGCTACTGGTATAAAGACAGACTTATAGGCCAGTGGAATACAATAGAGGGCCCAGAAATAAACCCACACTTATACAAACAACTGGCCTTCAACAAACATGTGAAGAATATATCATAGGGAAAAGATGGTTTCTTCAATACATGGTACTGAGAAAACTGAATATTCACTTGCAAAAGAATAAAATTGGGCCTGTATCTTACACTACATACAAAAAGCAACTCAAAATGAACTACACATTTAAACATAATTACCTGAGACTGTAAAACTTACAGAAGAAAACATAAGGGGAAACATTCATGATGTTGGTCGTGGCAGTTATTTTAACTTATAAATTGTAACAAAAGGATTTGGGAAGGCCTGGTAGGTTTAAAGGGAATATTTATGGGTGATTACGGGTTATAGGCTCCTGTGCACATCTCAGTAACTTCCTTAGTAAAGGAGACATGACCTTGAGCCCGAATACACTGGGAAGAAGCTGGAACTAAGACTCAACTCCTCTGACCCCTTCTCTCAATTAAGGATTCTTTTTTCTCATTTCACCAAGAATAGAGAAGCAACCAAAGATAGTTTTTCCATTTTTCCACCACCATATCTCTTCACATAGTTTGTCTTTATCCATAATCTACCTTCTCTTCATTCTCTGATTCAAGGCCAACTCCTCCACTTACACTAGATTCCACCCCCAATGACTTTTTTAAGAATTTAACTCCAGAAGTTAAACATTATTTCCATACTATGAATCTCTACGCCACCCCCAAGCTGGATAATTCATTTTAGGCAGAAATATGTGGTAATAGTTCTCATTTAAAATTCTGTACATTTCCAGCTACTGCCTCATTTATCTACTCTCTTTATAGAAGAAATCATCATTTGTCTTTATTCAGCATCTCCACTTTTTCTCTTGCATTCTTTTGTTGTTGTTTTTGTGTTTCTGAGAAAGTTCTTTAATGTTTTTAATTTATTATAAAACATTTCAGACATTTAAAATAAAAAATAAGTAATATTGTGTCATATAATTTGTCTTCTCTTTTTAAAGCCAGAAGCTTCATTTATATTGATGAATGTCCTTCAGAATATTATAATTGCAGAATGAAGTGCAATGCTGATGAACATGCAATTAGATACTGTGATGACTGGACCATCTGCTGCAAACTGAAGAACATTGAAATTGAAAAACTAAGGAGGGAGCGAAAAGACTAACTTCATCTTCTTCAGACTCCAGGAGAAAAAAAAAGTCTTGAACTGTCTTGTCTATGAATAATTAGCATGATGGATGAAATTTATAATTGCATGTTTAGATGGTCAGGTGAAAATAAATACAAATTTTATAAATGCTTACACTGTATTTTCATTTGTGCATTTTAACATTTACTCCCTTAATTTACATCCACAGCCACCTTGTTGTTTCACCCATAGTACTATATCCCAGCCCTATCACTTGTTAACTGTTCGAGCTTGGGCAAGTTATTTCTTTTCTGTCTATCTCAGTTTCTTTATTTATAAAATGGGATAGCAATAGGTACCTACATTGTGGTATTGTTAGGATTATATGAGTTAGTATATGTGAAGTTCTTAAACATATCTTGACCCTGTTATATGCATTATGTAGACGTTAGCTATAATTTCATGGAACCCAAGAATTTGATCCATCCTATTCCTTTTGGGGTTTTATAAAATTATTCTGTGTGCCTAAGAGTTCATATTTGTTAAAATGTTAGGTGGTTTTGAAAATAAGGTATATTTTTCAGGTTATGAGATATATAATTTTATATAAACACAATCTATTAATGCAACATTATTCTATTCCAGTAATCTAGGACTTGAACACTAGTAGTGAGAACTAAAAAGAAAGAAGAGATGCAAGGTGAATTTCAGAATTAGGATCAGCAGGATTTATTGTCCGTATGATATACTGAGAAGGATGAATGATGATTCTGAGATTTCAAAGCTAATAAAAAGATGGATGCCAATATAATTCACTAAACTAGAGAGGCCAGAAGAGAAAGTAGGTTAGGAATGTGGGGAGAATCAATAAAGACATGTTTTGGCATAATGGGGTTTTAGTCATGTAAGGGATATGTCAGTCTACTAGGCATATTTACAAAAGTGTAATTTTCTTATACTATAAATTAACTGAATTCCTATTGGGAACCTTATTTAGCCTGGTCACAGAAACTTAAACTTAGTCAATTCATAGTTGATCATATATTCTCCAAGTTATTTTTAAGTTCCAAAAGAGGTAAACAGTGATGAGGTATCTGGGAGAGCATTTATTATGTTAACTTACTAAAACATCTTCATTCTCATCTGATCTTCTGTCACTAATCTAGGTGCAACTGCTGAGTTTTGTCTCATTCTTAATTTTAATAAAATTTGTAAAGCTCTTTGGGTGATGCCCATTCTTTGGTACATTGTTTGGTTCTGCTACTCAAGCATCATCCTCAGTCACCAGGTGGGAATATTCCTTGCTTCACCACTTTTATTCTGGTCTGAGTCATATAATAACTATTACTGCCCCCTTCCATTGCTGGGAACACCTGTGTGAGGGAAGAGGAACTAATGTGGGAAGACTGTCTTAGACCTATCTGCTGAAGAAAACCATGCAATTAGTGCTATGCCGTGGTCTTGCCACTTCTTTGAGCTTGATTCACATCAGGGAACACTCGTGCCCTGTGTTCTCAGATTCTACCCAGAGCTTTGGTCCTCCATTACCTTCTCTCATTTCCCTCCCTTCCCATTATCTGAAACCCAGGATTGGAGATGACCCACCACCATCTAAGCTGTCCTTCCTCCTTCACCCTGATATTCTCCCTCTTCCTCTACCTTACTCAAGATGTGATTTAAGGGATGAATCACGCTCCTAATCCATCTGCATTCCTCAAAGTCTATTATAAAATCTGAATGCAAGAGTTCCTTCCAGTGTCCAGTAACAACACAGTCTTCTAAAATCCAGACACCTGTTCTTTCTCTGTTTTTGAGAGTAACAAGTACATATGTTTAGTATAGAGTAATGATAAACTATGTGTTTTGGACTTCTGAAAATAGAAAAAAAAAAGCAGATGAAATATTTTTGAATGTTCTTAAAAGCAATGAAGTTCTAACAAATTAGTGAGAAACTTCCCAAACAAAATCCAGGAGTGTATTCGGCAGCTTCTAAGGTGGCCTCCAATGCTTCTTGCCTCTGGATGTTCATGCCTTTATGTAATTCTCTCCCCTGGGGTGCAGGCCAACTTAGTGACTCGCTTCTGACAGATAGAATATAGCAAAAGTGATGAGATATCACTTTCAAGATTAGATTACAGAAAGACTCTGGCTTTTATCTTGCTTGCTCTGTCTTGCTCCCTTTCTCTCAATAGCACTGATGGAAGCCAGCTGCCATTTTGTGCTCTACCCTGTGGAAAGGTAAACATGGTGAAGAAGTGAAGAATGCCTCTGGTCAACAGTGAGGAAATGAGGCTTTCCATCTCACAGCTCACAACGAAGTGAATCTTGCCAACAAAACCATGTGAGCAAGGTTGGAAGCAATTCCTCCCCTGGTCAAGTTTGCACACAAAATTGAAGACCCAGCCCACACTTTATTGCAGCCGTGTGAGAGACCTTGAGGCTGAGGCACTCACTTAAGCCATGCCAAGATTCCTCACCCAAAGAAACTGTGAAATAATAAATGTTTATTGCTTTAAGTTGCTAAATTTGGGGGCTAATTTGTTACACAGCAATAGATAGCTAACGCAAGGAGACTACAATAATTCTTGTAAGCTCTAATATCAAGATGATTTTATTTAGAAGCATTTGCTGATTTAAAAAAATAAAAAGCAACTGAGAAGCTAAACTGTCCTTTTGGAGAGTAGGATGGGGGTGGCAGGAGGGTGGAGGTAGAGGGGCAAACAGAATCCAGCACAAAAATTTACAAAGGTGAATCACACAAGAGCTTTACCTTGTAAGAGCTCGATTTCCATTATAAGAAACATATATAAATAAAGCAACCCCCCAAAGAATGTCATAATTGTATAAATGAAGCACAAATTGTGTCCTTTATGATGGAACTGCTTTTCCTTAGGATTTTCTGCGTACTAGGTCCTTTTAAATGCCAGGACCCTTCGGTTTTCCTTTTCCTAAGGGAGGCTTCAGCATAAAGATAACCTACAAGATCAATGGCTGGCAATTCCTTCAAAATGAGAGCTTGCATTCAGGCTGCTACTCACTCATGAGCAGGTGACTTCCAAGAGGGAAATTTCCCATAGCCTGTGTTCAGGCTTTGCCCTCCTTAAGTTATATGGAAGTCCCAATAAGAGCCACAAAATAGTATTTCTCTTGTACTACTGCAGAGAGCCCAGCCTTATCCCACCTCAAATTCTTTCTAAAAAGTCTTGCATCATGTCTCAGACAAGTCCTAATATGTGGCACCCACTATTTTTCTTGTCTTTTTTCTGCCTGCAAGTGGTAATGTCCTGTTGGTAGTGGAAGCACTGCCATTACCTCTCATTGTTGCTGTGGAAGCTGGTACCAAGTGTTGCTGATGCTGTAGCCCTTTGCATCCCAAGATGTCTGGAAAGAAAAAGAGAGAAAGAGAGAAAGGAAGGAAGGAAGGAAGGAAGGAAGGAAGGAAGGAAGGAAGGAAGGAAGGAAGGAAGGAAGGAAGGAAGGGAGGGAGGGAGGGAGGGAGGGAGGGAGGGAGGGAGGGAGGGAGGGAGGGGGGGGAGGGAGGGAGGGAGGGAAAGAAAATAAAAGACCTGCTTTAGCTTTTTTGGTGTCACTTCCTTACCATAGGTTCTAGCTCCCCAGTCCCTGGCATCTACAAATTCTTCCTGGCTGGTCCAGATATTCAAACTAGAATTTTTGCTATATTTCAGAACCTCTTTATCCCAGGAGACAATATAGACTAGTAGTTAATAAATTTGGGTTCTAGAATCTCTGTAAGACTTCTCAGTCCCAGATGTGTGATTTTAGAAGACTTACTCAAATCTCTGCTTCAACATCTTGAAAATGTGAATGGCGAAAATGTCTATTAAGTGAGGCACTATTTAAAATAAACAAACAAAAAAAAGCCGGGCGCGGCGGCTCACGCCTGTAATTCCAGCACTTTGGGAGGCGGAGGCGGGCGGATCACCTGAGGTCGGGAGTTCAAGACCAGCCTGACCAACATGGAGAAACCCCGTCTCTACTAAAAATACAAAATTGGCCAGGCGTGGTGGCACATGCCTATAATCCCAGCTACTAGGGAGGCTGAGGCAGGAGAATCGCTTGAACCTGGGAGGTGGAGGTTGCGGTGAGCTGTAATCATGCCATTGCACTCCAGCCTGGGCAAACAAGAGTGAAACTCTGTCTTAAAAAAAAAAAAAAAAAAATACTTACTACAGTCCTTGATGCCTAAAAGTGCTCCAAATACCAGTTGTTACGAATATATTTGCAGTAGTTCCCCACCAAGCCATAGTTCTAGTTACTTACAGTCAACCACAGTCCAAAATATTAAATACACTGGGTGCGGTGGCTCACGCCTATAATCCCAGCACTTTGGGAGACCGAGATGGGTGGATCCCCTGAGGTCAGGGGTTCGAGACCAGCCTGGCCAACACGGTGAAACCCCGTCTCTGCTAAAAATACAAAAATTAGCTGGGCATGGTGGCGGGCACCTGTAATCCCAGCTACTCGGGAGGCTGAGGCAGGAGAATCGCTTGAACCCGGGAGGCAGAGGTTGCAGTGAGCCAAGATCGCACCACTGCACTCCAGCCTGGGTGACAGAGCAAGACTCCATCTCAAAATAAATAAATAAATACAAAATTCCAGAAATAAACAATTCATAAGTTTTAAATTGCATGCTGTTCTGAGTAACACAAAATCTTGCACCACGCAGCTCCACGCACCCAGAATGCGAATCATCCCTTTGTCCAGTGTATCTACACTGTAAACACTACCTGCCCACTAGTTATCGAAATCAGCTGCTTCCGAGATCCAGCCATTGACATCATCATGACTCAGTGACCCAGGATCACCTAAAGCAGATGATCCTCCTTCCGACATATGGTCAGAAGATTAGTAGTAGCCTGATGCTATGTCACAATGCCTATGTCATTTTCCTTACTTCATCTCATCACACAGGCATTTTATCATTTTATATTAGCACGAGAAGAAGAGTGGGCAGAGCACAATAAGATATTTTGGGGGAGACAGAGATCACATTCACATAACTTTTATAGTATTGTTATTATAGCATATTGTTATAATTGTTCTATTTTATTATTAGTTATTGTTATTAAAATCTTACTGTGCCAAATTTATAAATTTAACTTTATCATAGGTCTGCATGTATCGAAAAAAAAGCACAGTATATATAGAGTT